TGTAGATGGACAAGCTTGATTGTTTGAACCAAAATGGGAACATTAAACAAACATCACAGCCCTCACTAATAACATTGTGACTTTGCTGTCAAATGTAGAATCCTCCCTTCAAGAAAAAAAGCTTGTGACCATTTTGTATGGCTTGTCTGGAAACTTCTGTAAATCTTATGTTTTAGTAAAATATTTTTTGTTATTCTACTTTGCCTTTGTACAGTTTATTTTACTCTGTGTTTATTTCTTTTCCTAATGTGACAATCGTATTTAAAAATTTAAATTTGATGAACATTTTGTTTTGATGTCCACAATCTGACAAATTGAATCGCACTGATACAAACATGTTTTACAGTACTAATGAATGAAATATTTATAAACTGGCCCCGAACATGCATAAAGCATCAGTATCTGACACTTTTCCCCCTCTTAGAAATATAAGTAAATGTATTTATGTTGTCATATTAGTTGGATGGTCATTGATGTCTTGCCACAGTGTTTGAATATTACTGAAACAGGAGAGTTATAGCAAAGAAGCCACTTTGATATGTGTGGAAATTTCACATGTGCCACATGTATGGCATTTTTCTTAGTTCTTATCTCAAAACTTTATATTAAATAACTAGTATGTGTTACTGGGAAACACTGACCTCTGATAATCATTTGGGGTTTGCTGTGGCATAATTCGTCTTCCTTGTAGACCTGACAAGCAAATCTCTAGCAGCCAGCTTACCTAAGTGTCATCAGAAAGGTTTCCTCCTTGGAGAGCATCAGATACTCTGTTAATGACTCTTGCTTTCAAACCTTCAGTGTTTTCTGTGGGAGCTCCTTTTATCCTTTAATTTGATACTCAGATTTTCTTTTCTCATTGAGTTTCTCCCTTTACCCTACAAAACTGTTCTTTCCCACTCCCCTCCATATTTAATCCCTCACTCTTGTTATTTTTAAGTAAAACATGTAGCCTATCATAAGTATGTAAATGTTTAACCTGCAGGTTGGAACTTACATCTCTTGCAGTTTGAGGTAATGGATTGTACCCATTTGAATTTTCCCTACTTTTATTCTCATAACTTCTGGAGTTTCTTCAGAATGTGGTGTATTTTATTGTGCTCCTATGTAAGATGAAGAATTCTCTATTAAAATGACATTTTCAACATACAAAAGCTTTTACTGACTGGTAACTGATACCTTTTCAAAGAAATGTGTTGCTTGGTAACAAATGTTAATTTAGAATAAAAGTTTTCATAATTCTGATCTTGTAAATTTAGAGACAAGAGTTCTCATTTGTTTTTTAATAGTTCAGAGGACAACTTAGAGTGTACCAAAAAAGAAACAGAATCTTGGCCTAGAATGAGTATGAACGAATACTCCATGGGACTGTAAGCAGTTAAGAGATGAGCCTTATTTAAGTTAGAAAATTCACATTAATGCTGTTCCACTACAAAAGCTGACTTTCTATAATGAGATTATGACAGATAAAAAGATAAAACCAATGCTTTCAAGTACATCATTTCCTAATACCATGGCATCACATTTTTTCCTTTGTAACTTTGGTAAGAGTCATGACTAATGATGTGTTGGGACAAAACACAATGCCACATGTGTTAACTGAACATCCTTAAGGTTAAAGGCAGATGTTGAAAACTCAGCTTTTGTGTGACCCCATGCCGCGTGTGTTAACATTTTGAATTAGGTACTAGCAGAAGAGTTACAGAGTCACAGATTACAAGAATCTATGCCTTTGAGCTGTGGTTGGAGGAGAGTACTGAATATCCCTTGGATATTCAAGCCAGGCTTGGAGAAAGTGCATTCAGACTGCTCGTTGGAGCCAAAGAGGACAACACTTTGTCTCACATACTTTCGGCATGTTGTTGGGAGAGGTATTCCTTGGACATCATGCTTGGGAAGGTGAAGGTTGGTGAAAGAGAGGAATACCCTCAACCAGATGGATTGACAAAGTGATTGCAGCAGTGGCTCAGTCAAGTATTTGAGACATGATGATGATGGCACTGGACAGGATAAAGCTCAGATCTCTTTATAGGGTCACATGAGTACTTGACAGCACCGAACAACAGTAACAGGAGGATCACGTGAAAATTCAGAACTCTCTTACCTTTTGAATGACCTGAAGCTGTACCCACCTTTTTCCATAACATCATCTAGGATCAACCTGAGTAGTAGCCTTGTTTGGATAGAGTCGTTATCTAGTGTGGCTATAATAGAAATACCACAATTGGATAGTGTTAACAAAACCAGATTTTTTTTGTCTGTTTGTTTGTTTTAGGAAGCTAGAAGTTTGAATTCAGGGTGCTGAGTGTATTGGAAAAACAGACAATTAAATCTATAACTCTATCCTTTGTCTTGTAGGAGATGAAAATTCATGGCCTTGCTACATGCAGAGCACTTTTACCACATCATATCATCTCAAAAGTCTCACTTCCAAGCCCAGAATCTCATCTTCTGAATCTTCTAAATCAAATATTGGTGAGACTTAAGGCACAGTTATCAGAGACAAAATTCCTCTTCATCTATAACACAGACTATCTGCTGGGCATGGCAGCTTTGCCTACTCAGCTTTGGGAATAGCCCTTATACTGTTGGCATTTGTGAAAAGCAGCTCCACATTTAGGAACTGAGGTTGTGAAGTTCTCGACCCCAGGACCTTTTGAAACCAAGGCAACACTGCTTCCCCTCCTTCTGATATTTCTGCAGATCTCTGAGCTGCTCCTGTTCTTGGAGAACAACAAAAGTAGCTGACCCTTTCATACTAAGCTGGTGAGTCAGATCTGTCAATCACAGCGAGTTCTTTTTAACAAAAAATTGCATTGCCACGTTCTTGGTGAAAATTCTAGGACATACTCCCTTATTCAAAAGAATTTTCCAAATTTCTTAAAATGCAGTTTCATTTCATACAGTTCATTTCAGAGGCAGAGAAACCAAATGACTTATTTAAAGTCTTGTTTAGAAATTTCAGCCAGGTGTTAATCACTTAAGTTTCCTCTTCCTCTAAAATTTTCAGCATGATCATAAAATGCATTGCTCTTCCATTCGGTGAGGACTTGGTGGTAGAGGAGTTGCACTGCCAATCCAGAGGCAGTTTGAATTCACCAGTTGCTCTGTGGGAGAAAGATGCACAGTCTCCTCTTGTGTGCTTTATATCCTCTGAAAAATCTACTGGAGGGTCACCTATGAGTTCCTTCCCACTCAACAGTGACAACACATAACAAAATTGCCTCTGATGGCTATACTAATAGCAACAGTTTTCTAGGCAGTAAAAGCTTTTACTATTTAATCAGAACTAACTTACTGCCATTAAGTCTGAAAAGACTGCCCGTCTTTCTCGCTCATATGTGTGATGGATTCAAACTTGACACAGTGCAATTTGCTATGAACTATAGCATCAGAAATCTCTTACTGTTAAGTGCCATGGTGTTGACTAGGACTTGAAGCAACCCTAAGAACATCTCAACCCTGTCTTACTCTGTGCCATCCTCGTCTCTAAAACAACTCTTAGTCACTGTCCACCTTAATGAGGATCTTCCCCTCTTTCACAGATTATTGCAAAGACTAGCCCCTCCTGACAACAATGCCCAAAGCATGTAAAACTAAGCTTCACTATACTTCCAAGGCTGTACCTATTTCCAAGACATGTTTGTCCTTTTGGCAGTCATGGATTTTCAATACTCTTCTCCAGCACCACAACTCAAAGGCATTTTGATTCTGTCGTACTTATTTGTTGTCCAGCGAATGCTGCATAACCAGTCAATTGAAACAGTCAGGTGCACCTGTTTTCAATCATTGCTCTTCATCTTGGAGAAGACCCCAACAGCCGATTTTGCCAATAAAAAGGTGCTGCACGTCTTGATTTTCTGACTGCTGGTGCCAAAGGTGTTGATTGTGCATCCAAACAAGATGAAGTTACTGACAATTTCTCTTTTCCATTTGTCGTAATTTTTGCCCATTGCCCGGGGGTGGTGATTTTTGTTTTCTTGATGAGATGTAACCAATATTGAACACTGTAATCTTTGATTCTCTGCAGCAGGTGTTTCAAGTCTTCCCATGCAATAAGCAAAGTTGTGTCATGCATAATGCAAGTTGTTGATGAGTCTTCCAGTGTGAGACCACATTCTTTTTATTATTATTATTATTATTATTATTATTATTATTATTATTATTATTATTGTTTTTGTGTGAGTGTACCGTCAAATCACATCTGATTGGTACAGGAGGAGATTGTCCCTTCTTCCCCGGCAGAGCATCTGGTGGATTCGAACCGTGCGCCTCTGGGATTGTAGTTGCAGCTCCTTACCACTAGGCCACCAGAGCTCCCCGAGACCACATTCTTAATATATGTAGTCCAGCTTCTGGAATTGTTGTGCACAGAGAATAGATATGGAGAAAAAATACAGCCCTGATGCACCTTAGAACTTCAGCCTCTATACATTACCCAGTTATAATTAATTTCTATGTTTTAGATGGCTGCTACAGTACCATTTTGTCCTGGTACCAGATGTTATCTTGG